ACTTGAAAGAGAAATTTTCAAAGGAGTTTGAAATGAAGACTTTAGCTCCAACCAAGAAAATCCTCATTATGAGAATCGACAAGGGCATGAGAGCTTTTATAATAAAATTGTCTCATACAGAATATGTTAAGAAGATCCTACATAGATTCAAATGAGTGAGATAAAATTAGTTTGCACGCCTTAGTTATTCACTTGAAACTATCTAAAGAACAATCACATAAGGTTTGAAGCAGAACAAACACAAATGAAAAGAGCTCCCTATGCTTCAATTGTTTGAAGTTTGATGTTTGTGATGATAGGTAAAATATCAGATATTACACATGTAGTGGGAATGGTCAGCACGTACATGAGTAATCCAATGAAATATTATTTGGTGGTAACGAAGTGGATTCTCATATATTTGAGAGGGACAATCAACAATGTACTTTACTTTAAAAGTGCAATGATTAATTTACAGAGATATATAGATTCAGATTTTACAGAAGATATCGATCAGTGAGTTGAGTTTTCAGATTACAGAAGATTGTTGCTCTATCAACTATAGAAGCTAAATATATTGTTATCACTAAGGATATTAGAGAAATTTTGGTTGTAGAGCTTTTTTATGGAACTTGGCAAAGAGCAAGGGAATTGAAACCTCATAGTGATAGTATGAGTGTCATTCATTTGGTAAAGTGCCTCATTTCATGTTAGGAAGAAGCACATTAAGTTAATGCATAATTTCATTCATTTACTTTTAGAAGATGATCAATTATCTTTAGAGAAAATACAAACAACTCAGAATTCTGCAAATGTGTTGATTAAGAATGTATACTTCAATAGAAGTTCAAGAAGGTTGAAATAGGGATGAGTCACAATAAAATTCACAAATATGAAGATGTAGCTTTATTGTAAATAGCGCCAAAGGGCCCAAATAGTTGCGTTATCACTCCCAGTACAAATTTAGAACCCAAGAGCATGACATTCCAGTGTCCATATGGGAGTGTCACAAAGCCCAGATGCATAGCTCCATAACCAAGACCAGTAATGTTGCAACGCCCAATCCAGGTTTAGAAACCAATAGCACAGCACTTTAGTGTTGGGAAACAGAGTCGCGTCGCTACTATCACAACACCTTAACACTAGTAACTGAATTCAAGTAGTTTTCATTCAAAGTCTTGGCTTCACTACTTGAAGAGTACGTGTTGAAGGATTGCATTTTAAGTTTTTTCTTGCGTGAAGGAGATGAGTGTCTTGATGTGTTCCAAAGAGAGGAAAAGCTCCAGTGCAGTGTAATTTGTGTAATTTGTGTAATTCTCATCATTTTCTTCATAATAGATTTTTTTTTTGCATTGTTTTGTTTCATGGTTTTTCCCATTCTCAGGTTTTTCCACGTTAAATCTTGTGTTCCCTATGTTCTCTGGTTTTGTTCTCTTATTTTTTAAGTTTTTTCTCGCATCTCTCAAATTTAGTTTCCACATCTCTCTCAACACACACACACAGTCACAACCCAACTCGATGTAACCCGTCATATTGAGGTGGGACATCTCATGTCGAAGTCATGATATATAAATTATTGCCTAAGGTTTTTTTTGGAAGAAATTAGTTTACTTATTTTTTCTTCAAATAAATAGAGCAACGAATATCATCAAATATTGTAAAATAAATGTACTCAAAATTAATTCAAATCATATTAATATACAACAAAAGGAATATATATACAATAATCATGGTTTAATATCTCTATCATAAAAAAAAAAAAAAACTAAACATCATCATGATTATCAAAAATAAGATCTAAGATACTACGTACTTAAAATCAAACCTTTGTAAGTAATGCAAAAATCTCTACTTAACCTGAGTCTTACTATTCCCTGAAACAACACATGCGAGTAAGGTAGGGGTGAGCAACCATAGCTCAATAGGCTTCCCAAAATCTACAACAGTTTTCAATATTTCTAAAAAAAGTAGAGATATATACGATGTAAACAAATCCAACATGTTAAAATATCATGTGTAGTATCTATCACATTACAAGTACAAGAAATTACAACTGTAGTAAGCATATGTTGAGTAACAATATAAGGAACATGATACCACAAGTATAGGAAAATAATATGAAAATTAAAATTCATTTTTAAAATTTGTTTAATATTTTCCCTTCGTCTCCTTATGCCTCCATTTGGTCATATTTCCTCTATACCATTTATAACTCCACTTCCACCTATATCTCCACTTGTTAACATCTGTTCAGGCGTATCAAACACAAAGATAGAAAATTGCATAAGTGCAAAACCCATTACAACTTCACTTGATTGCATATAACATACAACCGCCCAATCACATTCTGCTACAACTCTCTCTCTCTCTCTCTCTCTCTCTCTCTATATATATATATATATAATCATTTTTGGCACATATTTATGATACAAAATCATATAAGTGCTAATAATTTTTATATATCAAATTTTATAACAAGCTATAAGGAGTGGTACATTTCAATAGAAACAAGTGATAATGTAATTTGTCCGGAAAATAAAAAGTTGTCTATATGTCAACTCAATCTAATCTACAATATATAAAAAGTTGTGCGGTGAAAAATTTATAAATCTCCGTAGATTTGACTTTGTATGAAATTTTGATAAATAAAATTCCAATACTTCTTGAAAAAGTAACAAAATGTGAAGTAGGTTAATGCTAGCCTATCTAATGTCGAACAATTTCTCCTAACCCAACAAATGAAATCGAGTCTAAGCCCTTCGAAATAGACTTTCTCTCTCTTCAATCTCTCTCTCTTTCTCCTTCTAAATTATTGTATACATACATCGCATACAGAGATGCATGCGGTGTCTCACGGAAATAATCCTAACTGTAGATCACGGTGATCTACGGTCAGGATCGGACACTGCATGCATCTCTGCATGCGGTTTATATATGCAATAATTTTTCCTAATAGTCACGATTAAAGTTTGAAAATAACGCATGAAGTAGCTTCCTCGTAGTGGATCTTTAAATTTATGATTTTTTTTATTAAATAAAGGATCTAATAATAATTAAATAAATTGTCATATTAATTAAATACATATACTTTAAAGAAGCCTCATATCTCATCAAATATATGACTCAAAAAATAATGAAAAATAGTCAATAAATACAAAAAACATGTCTAGAACACACCAGAAAAAACGGTTTGCAAAAAGGGCACCAGATGGTTTCAAAAAACTCGCTTGTATAAAAATATACAGAATCCTTATGAAAAATAAATCTAAGAAATGGACACGAGATGGTTCAAAAAATGTCACTTGTATGTGGGTCGCCTGCAGGTTTTATGGAAGAATTGGTAGCATTATTCTTCTCTAATTAGGAGGCACACCATTAATACTAAAATTTCCAAATAAAAAATAAAAAAATCCAATATATTACAATTGCACATGTTTCTCTCGTCCAGGTAGTAGGTCATTATGAAGCAAATAATAGAAGGAATTGGACAAGTGGAATGTCGGACAGGCGTCGCATATGAGGATATGAACATGCATGTGACACGACACTCACACATGCGAGACACTTTCATTGTCCCTTGTCTAGTAAAAAAAAAGGTGATGATCATGAAGAGCTCCTATTCAGCTCCTTAAGTTGCTCATGTTCCGTAAGTAAATGAGTCAAATATGAATAATAAATAAAAATTTGTTCGTTCATGTTTACCAAGGACTATATTTGGCCATTATATATATATATATATATATATATTAAAAAAAGAAATTGATATTTGATAGAGGCTCAAATATTGATTTCCCATGCGCTAGGCCCTATGATGAGAGCCCGGAGAGCCCGTGTCATGTGCCTAAATATTCAAGAACTCAACGCCACTGGGAATCGAACCCGTGACCTGAGGGGACTTATACATATAATTGATGGGTATTATAAATAATTTAATTGACAGGAACGCAACAAAGACTTATAATCAATTAAAACTATATATATTAAATTCTATTTAAATGACTATTTTAATATAAATAATAAATTTTAAATCTCATCCTAACCTAAAGTGACTAAGGTTTTTAAATGTCTCGTTATTCTTGAAGAGCTCGTGTTGGCTTGGATCAAACGAGTCAAACACGAATAGTAATATTTTTTTAATGAGCAGAATGAGAGCCTAGCCTAGGCCCGTTCAATCTTGGCTCTTTGACACCCCTACCCATGTCCAATTTAAAAAGAAATTGGGGATATATACATCTATCACATTATTCTTATATTCTTACATTCCTAACACATATGCTTTTATATTTACACGCATACCACTCGAGGTTTTAACATATCACTAGTGTTTTTAATATCACATTAAAAAAAATATCACCATCACTATTTTTAAGAAAAGTGATATTTTTATGTTTCTGACACAAATATGTTAGAAATATAAATATCAAATTCTAGGTGTAAGATATGTAAATACATAGGAATTATGTAGTATGCACGAATTTCAAAAAAAAATAAAAAAGGTAAACAACTTTCAAGCAATCTCTTTAAAATCAAATTTAAATTTAATAAATAGTATGAAAATATGTAATAAAATATTAAAATTTTATGTTATCCTACACGTTCTACACGTCAACAGTAGGAGACGTGACCGCCAGTAATTAGCCGACCGAACGTGTGAAATTCTGGACGAAATATTTTTCCTTCATTTACACGCATGATAACCTCGTCTATTTGTGAGCTATTTATAGGACTCAATTACACATGTCTTCAGCATGCAAACCAACCTCATACCCCTAAATTCATAACATTACGACAGCTAAAAGCTTATGAAGCTCTCCCAACGAAGACCAAATACGTGTGGCTCAAACCCCATCTCCACCTCATCAAAACCTATATATTACCGTTAGGCGCGAAATGCACTCCAACGGTCGAATTTCCCCAAACTTCAAAACCAACTCCCGCCTCTCTCTTGATAACACCCACGTAACAGCAATTAAACAACATTCTACTCCCTCTTCCTCCCCCCCATCCTCTAGGGCAGAGATCGCCCAAGAGGAAAGGGGATTGAATCTTCATCAAAACCCTAACTCCCAAATCAAAATCCACGACTTAACTAGCTTCCAAAAATGTCCGCTTTTCAAGATTTCGGCCCGCTGTCGGAGCGCCGGCGTGCTGAAAAGCAGCAGAAGCAGCGCAAGCGTCTGATGATCGCCGGAGCCTCTGTTTCCGTCGTCCTCATCCTCGCCGTAGTAGCCGTCGCCACCTCCTTATACAACTCAAAGGGTGTCGGCAGCGACGACCGCCCATCGCTGCCGAAGCAACTCCACTCCTCTGCAAAATTCATCAAGGCTATGTGCTCTGCCACCGATTTTAAAGAGACTTGTGAGAGCTCCCTCTCGAACGCACTGTCGGGCGCTGAAACTTCAAGCCCGAAGGAAATCGTTCGCGCAGCCGTGTCAGTCATCGCGGGGGCGGCACAGCGCGGCTTCAACCACTCTGAGAGATTCGTTAACTCCGAGAATCCGAGGGTGAAATCAGCCATTGCTCTCTGCAAGAGCCTCTTCGAGCAGGCTTACGACGAGCTCAAGATGGCTGTTTCTCGCATTGATTGAGCAAGTTTGAGAACCTTCCGAGCCATAAGGGGTACATTAAGAATTGGCTTAGCGCCGCGTTGCATTATCAGGTGATGAAAATTCAAATTTTATTAAAGGGAGTTGCATTTTCCATAAGGATTTGAGGAGAGAATATTCTGTAAGGAGTTTGTATTCGTTTGAACTTCATGGACAACAGTGTAATTTTGCATGCATGCATGCAGACTTCGTTGTATATGAAGTTCACTTATATACAGACTTTCTTGGTAAGAAAATTTTGAAATTGAGGGAATTGGGGAAAAAAATTACACACATATCACACAATTTTTATATATTTTTATATCACATATATCACAATTGTTATCTATCTTTATATATAATCTGATCGAGAGGCGGACCCCCTTCCAGATAGGTGTGCAATTCGATCCTATGCAGGGATCGAACCCCCGACCTGAAGGACTTATAACAAAGGCTACAATCAATGAGTCAGGCGAAGGCGCACACACACAAACACACAGATATACATATACATACATATATATATGTCTATATGTATGTATTTGTATATATATGTATGTATATGTATGAGTGTGTGTAACTAAATATTTAAGTTAAAGTATTAGATATATAAATATCTAAAAAATATTTGTTTTGCATATAAATCCTCCCATATTATATTTGGCTTAATAAATAGAAGTTATAAAGTCTGTACCAAAATAAGATATTAAGATAAATAAATAAAGTAATAAAACAGATGACTTATATTTACCTACTCTAAAATATCATACATTAAATATTTATATTGTAGAAATCATAAATAAATATCTAAAGATATCCTATAAAAAAAATGCTATGGCTGATTGTCTTCTAGTCAGAGTAAAATCAATTTGTTTTTAATTAATTAATTAATTAAACTTTGTTAAACATAAATAATCAGTTTATATCAATTAAGCTAAATTTAGCATTTCTTAATACAAAACTAATTCACTAAACTTTCATAAATAGTTCAATTAAAAACTAAATGTTTAGCCTAATTATATATTTAACCAATCTCTAATGAAAATATTCGAACTACTTCCATACAATCAAGAGTTGATCTCTTGATTCTTACCAGTACTTTAATACTTAATGAAGATTTACATGCATGCCATTGAGTTCTTTACATGCTTAATATTTAATATTTAATTTTTAATTAATGTCACCTATATATGTACAAAAATTTGTGTTTCGCATTTCAAAAGTTATACAAAAAAGTGATATGAGTGGCATAATTGTAAAAAAAAAAAATTAAGGGAAAATTACATACATAGCACCCAATTCTTATAAATTTACTTATCTCACACCTAAACTTTCATTTTAACACACATGACACTGTATCTATGAATGAAAATATGGATTTGACTATTAAAAAATGATGATGAATGCTACTTTTCATATAATATTTGTAATTATGAAAGTTTAGGCGTGAGACAGGTAAATATGAAAGTTTTGGGTGTTATGTATCTAAAAGTTTCCAGAACGAACAACCAAATCAATTTTGTTCTGACTCGAAATCAATCTGCATGCTCAAATAATAGGAGATGTGCGTGGATGCATTTCCCGCCGGAGAAGAGAGAACTAAGATGAAAGAAGCCATGAAAACCGGCAAGCAGCTAACAAGCAACGCCCTCGCCATCGTCGGGGGCATTTCCAAGTTCCTCTCCGTTCTCGGCCTCGACCGCATCGACGGCCGCAACCTCGCCGAAAACACCACATCCCTACCTCACAAAACCTCCCTCTCTTTCCACCCGGACGGCCTTCCAACGTGGATCACCGACGAAACTCGCCGCCATCTTAGGGAGAAGCTACAGAACAAGCTCCGGCCGAACGTCACCGTCGCGAAGGACGGAAGTGGAGACTTCAACACCATTAATGAAGCTCTCAATGCCATGCCCAAGAAGTACAGTGGAAGGTATGTGATTTATGTGAAGGCCGGAATCTATGAGGAGCATGTGGTGATGGGGAAGGAGAAGGTGAATGTGACCATCTATGGAGACGGATCGCAGAAGTCTATCGTTACTGGAAGCTTGAATTGGGTCGACGGGGTGCAGACCTCCCAAACTGCCACTTTTGGTGAGTTTCTCTTTCGTTGTAGCGATTCTTCCCAATTATTTTGATAAAAAATACTACTTAGGAACATGATAGATGTAGATTTAATAGTATTTGATGATATTGTGATGATATTATCATATAATATTACTAAACTAAAGTGTTGCCTGACAATTGATGGGAGTTAAGTTATTAGGATTTAGCGAATCCCATAATTTCGGATTTAAGCGATTAAATTCGAAAAATTGTATGGCGACAGATTTACTAAATCTAGCAAAATTTACACAACCAAGTTAAATTTGTCGGATTGTAGGATTTAGTAAATTTAGGATTTACGACTGAGATCTGTGAAATCCGGATTCATCAAATCCGCAGCCTTATTTTGTTCAAAGTGACCAACTCACAAGATTTAGCTTACATTGAACTTAAATCAGGGACTAAACCCATTGCAAGTAACACCTAAAATATCCTTGATCATTGAGAGAATATTAGGCGTGAAATTAGCATGCAATTAGACTCTAGTATAACCATGTTATACATGAGAAAATATTGTGTCTGGACATAGCATGTCCAGACGGCCAACCACCAGTCACCGCGTCGCCATACACCTAATCGGCTGGTGATGTGATGGTCAGTGGTTGTCCGTCTAGACACAATATTTCTTCGTTGTACACGATTATATTCATGACTACAACCATACAACCATGAACAACAATATAGTTTCATGAGGACTCCACACCACACCTAATATCTTTCCCAATCAATAATTGCAAATTCGCGCTCGCTCATTTGGCTCGTGCATGATGTATATACACCAGCCGCAACCGGCTTCGGCCTCATGCTCATTGGAATGGGCTTCCGCAACACCGCCGGCCCACAAAAACACCAGGCCGTCGCCCTCCGCATCCAGTCCGACAACGCCGTCATCCTCAACTGCCGCATGGAGGCCTACCAAGACACTCTCTACGCCCAAGCCCACTACCAATTCTACCGCGGCTGCGTCATCACCGGCACCGTCGACTTCATCTTCGGCGACGCCACCGCCGTCTTCCAGAACTGCCTCATCGTCGTCCGCCGCCCCCTCGACAACCAGCAGAACATCATCACCGCCCACGGCCGCGCCGTGCGCTTCGAAGACACCGCATACGTCCTCCAAAACTGCCGCATTACCGGGGGGAGCGGGCCCTCCCCGCCGGCGACAGGCCTCCCATACGCAGCTATCTCGCCCGGCCGTGGAAGGAGTATTCACGGACCATATTCATGGAATCGGAAATCGGGGAGTTCATAAATTCGGATGGGTATATGCCGTGGGAAGGTAATTTTGCGCTGGACACGCTGTTCTACGCGGAGTATAGTAACCGGGGCCGAGGAGCGGACACGTCGCGGCGGGTGAGGTGGCGGGGGGTGAAGGTGCTGACGAAGGAGGAGGCGATGGGATGGACGATTCCTCATGTTTACGCCATTAATGATTTTATTCCGGCGATAAGCGGAAGTCTTGCGGTGGTTCGGAAGGGGTTTACGACGGCTTAGGGTTTTGTGTGGAGAAAGGTTTGAATTTCTGATTTTTATTCATTGGGTGATTTATTCGTGGGGAAATTTTTTGATTTTTTATGAAGATGTCTGAAAAAAAAAAAGAAATGATTTTTATAACAGAATATTATAAAAGCTTGGTTTTTTAGATCTTTGTGTGGAGAAAGGTTTGAATTTCTGATTTTTATGCATTGGGTGATGTATTCGTGGGGAAATTTTTTGATTTTTTTATGATGTCTGAAAAAAAAAGAAATGATTTTTATAACAGATAATTATAAAAGCTTGGTTTTTTAGATCTTTTTTTTACTGAATTTTAGTATTTATAATTGAATTTAGAGTGATGAAGGGAGGTGAATGATGGGCTCATATTAGTGTGATTTTATGATATTGCAGACAAAACAATGGTTTATCATTTTATATGTTTGGATTATTTTCTTTTAGCAATTTCTCTTTTTTTCTTTTTTTTTTTCCTTTTTTTTGGGAAGAGTTTGACAAAAGTTCTTGCCTTTATGTCTGAATAAGGTGTTATGTGCAAAAAAATAAAATCTTTTAAGTTACATTGGGTAAACGTGGGTGGGATTGCTATTTAAAAATCTAACAACCCCTTTCATCTATTTTTCAAATTCTCGCTCTTTTTTCTTTTTTTTTCTTTTTTTTTCTTTTTTTTTGGGAAGAGTTTGACAAAAGTCCTTGCCTTTATGTCTGAATAAGGTGTTATGTGCAAAAAAATAAAATCTTTTAAGCTACATTGGGTAAACGTGGGTGGGAAAATTATATGCATGGCACTCGAAGCATTGCTATTTAAAAATCTAATAGCTCCTTTCATCTATTTTTCAAATTCTCACTCAGATATCAAAATTCATGATAAAACACCAACCCATATTTTTCAATTTTATCAAACTCTCAATGGTTTGATCGCGGTATGTGCAAATACATTGGTTCAGTCTTTCAAAACCTGATGCTGAATCTTGCAAATAGCAATATTTTGAGCGGTATCTATGTAATTATCCCATTTTTAAAGGATAAAAACAACTGAATTTTATCTATCCCAATACAAAATCCTAATTTGAAATCCCAATGCAAATTCATAAATGAATTTCCATTAATCAGCATATATATATATATATAATATCAAAGTAAAATTAGCCTGCAAAACAGAAGAAATGCAAAATAACCAAAAAGTCCAATAACAATGAAAAATTTAGAACAGAAATTCAAATGACAAGAATGTTTATTCTGCCTATATTTGAACCAAAATACCTCAACCCTAAACTTACAAGCAAAACATATTAAAACCATAGCCACCGTTCGATGAAATAAACTGAATCACCAAATATCAGCAAATTCATATGCTCTAAGGCTGAGAAGCTGAAGATTGTAACAGAGATAAAGAAGAGATAGAGAGAGAAATTCCTCACCCTTACCACTTGGACGAGCATATAAATCCTGACCTTCTAAAGTTTTCTCATTGTGCCCAAAATATGTTGTGGGGGGGCTAAAAACATAAAAACTAGACTTTTCCAGGTTACCATAGGCCTGGCTAAAATTGAGTTTTCAGCTAAAAAAGAATTAAGAATTGAAGATACTAACCATGTTCTTAAACAAGTGCCCAAGATAACAGGCACTGCTCCACCTCCTCCCAATTATGAACCTTGGTGACAAGGCTGTAAGAATCTACCGAGCCATCCTTGCACCATGGGTATGAGTTGTGGTAATCAAAGAGAAGGACTCTAATGCCAGCCTCAGCACATTCTACAGCATATCTTGGATTGTCATCTATCAGCACCTCAGCCCCAATGGATCTGCAATAAACATAAGTTTACCGAGCTGTGGTTGTCCGGCCTTGTTTAAGGATATCGAGTATTTAAGTTTAAAATTTTCATCTCCATGAATTTGTTAATACTGTTATAAACATGATATCTAGTTAAAAACATAATTTACATTGAATCATGATTAAATATTTAAAGTTTAGGAGGGGTAAAACTTTTTAACGTGTTATATGATATTAAAGAATTTATTAAAGCCACCCCTTGGTTCCACCACTGATTAGAAATGCATATATGAAACTACCTCCAAAACTAACTATGGACGACAACGTCGCAAAAACTAACTATGGATTAAAGACCAACAGTTCCCACTATTTCCTTGATAAATTAGACAAAACTCCCCGTTTAGTTGCAGCAAAAACACACAAGGTATAGGAAGATTTACAAACATACCACTCAATTACTATGTATTTAGAATCTAACATCTAATTTTCAATTTTATATGTATGCCACTTTAACTATGCAAAAAAAAGGTGCATTTTATTTTTAAGAGTTCAAATAGAGATAATTTTTTTGTTTGAAAGATATGTAAAAAGTAAAGTTTGGTGTTAGATATCTAAATACATAGGAAATGGGTAGTAGGTATGTGAATGCACCAAAGAAATAGCAAATCATTAGGGGAGCCGGCAACATATGGCAAAATAGTGTTAAAGCTAGTATAAGAGATACCTGCAAATCTCAGATTTTGGCCTTGATTTCCCATCCAGCGCAAAATGATTTCCAAAGTGGATCTCCCTGAACAAGCCGGGATAATGCCTCTCAAGCCAATCACATGTCTGATCCTTGATTACATTTTGCCGAGATCTAAAAAGAAAGAAAAGATTCAATTAGAATGCATCAAAAAGTTATGAAGATGGTAAATTTCAGAATCAGAGAGGAGTGTAATGTCAAAATACTTACGTCACAACCGATAAATTGCAGAATGTCGACAAGTTACAAAGAGCAGCATGAGCGCCAGGAATGGGATGAATCCCAGATGTAAAATACTGAGTTCGAAAAAACTCGTGGACTCGTATTTCAGCTGCCAAATCATTTGAACAAGTAGATGAGTACAGGAAGATGGAGTTTTTAAAAACCAAAAAGTAGAGCATTATTCCTAAGTATTTCACCTCCCTTCTTTTTGGTGCAAATAAAAATAAAATAAGGGGAAAATAGTAATAGAAAAGTCAGTTGTACCTTCAGCACGAGTGCATTTCCATATCTGTTCATTAAGGGAGACAAAATAAATAGTAATAATGACTTCAAATAAGAAAAAGGAAAGCCCATATCAAAAAATATATTATAGTAGAAGTTCCCACAGCTAAGTACCAAAAATATAAATTTGAGGTCATGGTGTAATACCCTAAAGAATTCATAGATATGATAGTCTGAAACCGTGTGATATGATGAGTACCGATCTGCGATAAATTTATTGAGCGCCGTGATAAAACTGCCAAGAACTAAAAATTTAAAAAGAAGAATTAGTAAGAAAGTTTATCAAGAAAAAAATGCTTTGATAACCATGAAATTTCCAAGTGAGTTGCTAATTAAAATGTAAATTTCCAAGTTAATAAGAAAATAAGGAAAGAAATATGATAAAATGTGCACATTTTTTTCACTCAATGGTCCACATTCTCCCACAATTTAACTAGTACTGAAGTAACTTTAGTTTTTTGACCTCTAAAACTAGTTTTGCTTATTCCATGGAAAAAGAAAAAAAAAATTGAAGTAGAAACATCTTGGTTAAGGGGAAACAGAAAGGAAATATTGAATGCCAATCACTGACATAAGATGCGGTTCAAGTTGGTTTAAGTTTTTATGAACACTAAAAGTAGTTTAATGATGACTTGGATAAGTTTTTGGTCTTGAACTTGATACCCATAGACAATTGGTGTTAGGAAGTAACTATTAATTCCAAGCGCATGATCATGCATATGAGCTACAAGTGAATGTTACTATTCCTTTTAATTGACCATAATACCTTTCCAGTTTCTTAAAAATATTGCATTTGCTCTCCTTCAAAACTATGGCAAAATTCAGTTGTCATTGAAAGTGAATTTAGGCAATGAAGAAAATGGAAGGGATGACTCGAGTACATAGGGCTGGAAACAAACAAACCGAGTTGAGTAGGAGATTGTTCATGCTTGATCTAATTTATCAAAAATTTGTTTAAGCTTGACTAGAGCTTGATTTGAGCTTTTGTTATCAAAGATTTATTTGAGTTTGATTTGAGCTCGGCTCAAGTTTTCTTATAATGTGATCAATGAGCTTTAGAGGCCCGTTGAAAAAAAAAAAAAAGGCCTTGTTAAGCTAAACTTATTGAGCTTAGGAGCTTTAAATGAGTAGCCCGTTTGAAAAAAAAAAAGGCGAACTGAGAGTTGAATACATTCATTCTTACCTTATCGAGTCAATCCTTATTGATCCATTCAAATGAGCTTGTTTGAGCTTAATAAATGAGACTTACCTAATCAAGCCAAGCTCGTTCACACACTAATTCTCCAAGGAATTCCTTTTTGAACATCGGGCCTTAAGTGAGCTTCTTAATGAACTTGTTCACAAACAATAAATAATATTATTCATGATCATATATATGAACCGACTGCCAATTTATTCAAACTTATTTAGTTAATAATAGAATATTTCAAAAATGTTCAAATTTGTTTGATCATGAATGAGGTCAAATTAAACCATGCTGCGAGTAATTTGTGAACAGTTGGTTCATTTGCAAACATACGGGTAAACTTGCATAGAGAGGGAGAGGAAAGGCGGGAGGGGGAGGGGGAGGGGGAAGGCATGTATGAGAGAGTGAGCAAGCTTGTGGACGCAATGATTCAATTATTCTACAATTGTCCAGTTGTTTGCTAAAGATAATGACAGAGGTGAGGAGAAAGAGAGATGCATGTGAGTTAATGGTAGAAAATGTGGTGAATAAGAAAGAAACGTGGGAATGTAATTCGGAGACATGGATGGAGAATCACAAAACTAAAAGAAGAAATTTTAAGGAAAAATAAATAAATAAATAAAGTGGGGATTTTAAGGAGAAAAACATAATTTTTTTATTTAAAAATATTATTAAAAAAAATTTGTATTCTGAAAATTTTTACTCATTTGATGGATGAGGAGTTTAAAAATGTGGCACATTTTTCTTGCTTTCCTTTTTAGATACATTAATGAAATCACCGAGAAGGATTGAAAATTGAAAACATCAAAACCAAAAACACTTAAAAAATAAGGAAAAAAATAAATTTGGGACAAAATGACGGAAGTGCAAACAGAAGTTGTATCCACAATGTCTGCTTATAGTAACTTTTGATTTCAACTCTCCACTTTAAAGGAACTAAAAAAAATATCCTTACAAGAGAGCACCATGAAAGAAGAGAAAGGATACAATTGTTGGAATTCCACATTTTGTCTCATTAAGGTCCGCTACATAAGCTGACTACATAAGGGCATTTTAAGCATTAAGAGAATTTTTAATGAAGCAATCATGACAAGGATATAAATATAACTTCATTCAATCTCAAAGATCTAATTATAATATTTTAAGAAATATAAACAAAAGTGAATTGCCTTTTATATCTTATAGTTTACATTAGAAAAAATTATAAATAAAGATCAGTATCACATTCTAATATAAGAAAACTAGACTAATTATTGAAAGATGATTGGGAAAAGACCAAGTTTTTAATATAGTGAAGGCGTCAACTAGTAAAAATTTTATCCAATTTTCTGTCTTACTCATACTTGTTGCAGAAAAAAATAATAATAATAATGACAAATACAATATAGCATATATATATATATATATATATATAGTTTTGTTTTGAGGGAGTATATATATATATATATATATTGATTAACTAGAATGAAAAAAATTATAAATTTAAATTCAAATGAAATATATAAAAGAGACCAAAGACTATAATTAAGTATAGAAATAGCCAAGCATATGGATGAGAATTCATGAAAGTAAAAAATCTAAGTTGTAAAAAATCTAACTTGAAACACCGACACTTTTAACAAATAATAAAAAATATATTAAGAAAAAAAAGAGGGGAGAAAAAAAAGCATTATTCACTAAAAGAACAAACCTCCCGCTTGAATAAAGAGATGACCTCTAAAAAATTTTTAATCTCCACTCACAATAAAGGAATTGATTTCCAAATGGAGAAAGAATTGCACAACAAATCGGAAAATTTTCTTAGTATTCAATGATTTATGTATATGCCTCTATAACTTATTCATAAAAAAAGAACATAGGAATTAACCACCACGAATCCTGTATGAGGAAAATTTGCAAATGAACAAAATTAGGGATCGATAGATGATGCCAAAATGTTCCTGACAAAACAAACCACAAAATTGTCTATGTTATAATCTGTCGCGCCAGTGCCTAGCCTAAGGGCAATTTTGTCTTTTATTATTTATTATTGTTTTGTATAAATAAGGTTTAATAGCTTCGGGTTAGGTTTATGCATGAGATTATTGCTATGAGTTTTAGGTTTAAAGCTTGGGAGAGATTTCTTATTTCCCAAATTATAGAAATTGGGAGAGATCGTCTACCTCTCAAATTATAGGTGTTTATTGAGTTGTTTGTTTGTCATGCAATAAAATATTTTGTGCCCTAAGTTATCTGGGAAATCATCTTCAGTTCCTATCATAATCCTATTAAGTGCACCAAGAAAAATGTATAAATAAGTCAAAGGCCTGCAATCTCGTGAAGAAGTTGCTAGACAGAGTTTACAAACAAAAAAGATAGAGAAGAAATGCAAAAAATTGCAGTCTTTACAAAGCTTAAACAAATGGTTTTTATAAATAGCATATAAATGAAAATAAAGCAATCACAAATCCCATTTCTGCTAACTTGACTAGAACTTTTAAAAGGTGTTCAAATTTTAAGCAATTATTATAATGCTAGCTTTTTGTATTTTTGATGATTGTAAACTTTGCGGTCTGGGCCATGTGGCTCAAAAATTTAAGATTTTGTGGCTTGTTTTAATTGATATCTATCAAAAATCTATCGCTATAATAATTGAACTACTTGTAAAAATATGTACAAATCACACATGCAGTTTTGCCTCCTTAACACATGTACTATACCTTTGATATCATCAATTAATAGTGGACAAAATTTCATCAAATATTATAATATTAACATGAGCATCCTATGTGGGTGATGTGTGAAGGTAGATAATGAAAAAAACGAAAGCACTGTTGATAATTTATGATATAATGTCAAATCAATTGTATAAGAAAATTAGGTTAATATTAAAGTCTTATAAGACCTTAAAATGTAAAAATTCAAAAAAAAAAAAAAACTTCTTCACCTTTTTAAATTTCACATATCTTATTTATATCTATTGTAAATTTATAATTCATAGTTAGTAACTAGCTTCATTTGAATATTCTCATGCAAATCAAGCATATGTCATGCATATTAAATCTATAGGTTTTCTAGTTTAAAATCCAATAAATATTTCAAATAAACAAATACTAACAGATCTATAAATTTATAAATTGTAGGCAAACTCAAGCATAAGTATACAATCACTTAGGAAACATCATACAAACAACAATAATAACAAGTCCTTTATCCCACTAAGTGGGGTCGGCTACATAAATCCTTTTTTCTCCATTGTGTCCTACTAAGTGTCATTTTCATTTACTTATAATAAATTACATCATTTTTTTATACAACATGCCGAAGTCTTTTTAAGTCTACGTATATCTTTCTTAACATAAGTCAAATCTAAAACATCTACTCTCCTAATCAGATAATCAAATGGTCGACGTTTAATGTGACCCATCCATCTAACACGACTCTCTCTAATCTTATCTGCCACTGGAACTACACCGACCATTTCACAGATACATTCATTTCGCATTTTGTCTCCAATTGTTAAGCCATACATCCACCTAAGCATTCTCATCTCAACAACACTTAATTTAGTTTTATGTTTATCTTTTTTACGCCAATATTCTGCGCCATAAAGCATTTCTTACCACCATCTTATAAAATTTTTCTCTAAGTCTAAAGGTTGCTTTTCTATCACATAATAAACCCGATGCATTACTCCACTTCAACCATCCAACTTGAATTCTACTAAAAACATCCCCATTTATATCACTGTCACTTTGAACAATAGATTTGAGATATCTAAAACATTCATTCTTTTTAATGATTTGATCACCTATTATTACAAATTTGTCACTAGATACAAATACTAAAATTACATTCCATATTCAATTTTAGATCTACTCAAATGAAGGTCTTTAGACTCTAATGTAGACCTCCAAGTTTTCCTTTAACTCTTTCTCTAGTTTTATCTACAAGAAGGATATCATCTGCAAAAAGCATACACCAAGATACATCCTCCTGCAAATGTCCAACATGAGCATCCAGAAACAAAGAAAAAAGATATGGGCTTACAGTCGATCCTTGATGCAATCCAACAGAAAT